TTTTTAAATTTTATACAATATTCGAAAAGAACTTATGGCTCGGCTACAGCGGTTTCTGATAGTGAAACTCGGGAGATAAATATTGATATCATTAGAGTCGATAGTCTGAGTAAGATTTTTGTCGGTAAAAAAGACCATTGTAAGAACTAATTAAAAAAAACAAAGAACGCTTTTCCGCCCTCGTTTTCACGTCGTTTAATCATAGAAAAAGGAAAACGCTGGAACAAACCAGAGGTCCGGCTGCAATGCATTGTGAAGTTTCGTTCACAGTTTTTCGCTCGGGAAAATTAAAATAACCACATACGCCTTCTCCTGCCCCTTTTTACTAACACAGCCCTAATTCAGAAATTTTTTCCATGTAAAATAGAATACTCTACAAAAAATTTGAGTGGAGGAAGGATTGCATTAGTCTGTTCAAGAATACGCAGGTAAAATCTAACGAATGAGGAAGTTAGATTCATTATGTCCTTAACAAAAGTAAGACTAAAATAAGGCAATAACCCTTCTCGGCCAAATGTGTATGAGTGCTGTCAGAAAGTTATCCAATCTGAGAGGTAACCTGAGATTCCGTGCCATCCCATTCATCCCACACATTACCTAGTATCTTCATTTAGGTTTAACCTAGTAGCCAAGGCGTGCTCTTACAACAATACATTACCTGAAAAGTGTATTCAACTTAACGGAACGGAATCCCTATTGATAGTTCAGTTTATCTGTGAGTAGCTATTTCTAGCAACCAACCTTCATCTGTGCTTTTCTCCACAAAGATACTGCCGATGAAAACACACTGTGGACATTTGAATTTAATTCTTAATTTTTCACATGAGGTGAGCGACCTCATTTTTCGACCTTATGTGACCTCATGTAATGAATATACTAGACCTACGGTATTTCTGTGAACATAAGCCTTTGTTTTATCATCTAGACTTAATCCCCTATCGTTATTGAAGCTGCCAAAGAAATATTTATTTTTTGGTGAATATTTTTGTCCGACATACTTTTCCTATGTCGAAAAGTAGCATCAAAACAATGACAGTTTTAACAATGACTGATATGACACAATCTACTGAGCTTCAAGCTTTTAAAAGACCAAAGGATGGTTATAAAGTTACTGTAAAAATTTCCTTGTGTATTTGTGTTGTTCTATCTTGAGACGAACTCAAAGTCCGGCAAAATTTACTTGATAGCGACTATGAAATGTACATGGTGCGCCTACTTGTCGCCACCGTTAATTGGCGTAAATCACTACAATTTGTAAAAAGTCTAACATAACACTCTTACCTTGTTTATTTATGATTTTATTAGCTGTTTCGATGATCACGTTAATCATGCTCTACCACGTTGCAGCCAGATTTGAGTTTCAGTTTATTTATCTTCTCTAACTTATTATATCAGTGCGTGACAAGCGTGACAGAGAAATTCAAAGGACGAAAGGAGGGGAAACAAATTTGGGTGACTTGCCGCTGTTTGTTTGATGCATGCTGACATTAGCTCTTAAGAAATTTACCTACAATCTGATTTATTTGTCTCAATCTACTAACATGTCAGGTTCCATAAAGGGTTAAAAAAACAACAACAACAACAAAAAAAAACAGAACCATAAACATATGTGCTGGTATTTATCACCTCCCTTTCCATTCCAATAGTTTCACCATCAAAATACAGTCACACATGTAGTACTGGATTAATCAATTTTTTTAGTTTAAAACAATTTGATTTGTTTCTTATTGGCCCAGGAACATATATCAAATCACTTCAAATCACTTTGGCAGATGTCATTAGCCTCTGAATTTTCCATATTTTGGTGGTGTTACATAAACCAAGCTAACTATAGAAAACAGGCCAGTTCACGTGGCTCATGGAGTGAATTGTCATTCATCATTACATCACTCAATTTAACCACAAGTTTTTTCTCCCATCACCTTTAGCCACTTACTGGTATGTAAACTCAAAATAAGGGTAACTTAATTTCCTCTTTGTCAACTATTACTGATTAAATCATGTTGATTTATAATTCATACAAAAATATGCTGAGGGAACTTAGATCTAAGTCAGACCTATCCTTGTAAAAAGAGAAGATTGAGACAGGAAGCAATACCTGCATTAAAATGAGGCCAATCTTGGAATATGACTGGATCATTCAAAATGTTGGCCACAACAGAAGCTGCCATCACACAGGCAATTTCATTCCATTTCTTACTTGAAGAGTGCGTTTCATCTACAAAGTCTTTGATGCCCTTGACTACCACCCATTCTGTCTTAAAATCATGGGCTGCTGCATACACTCCTAAAAAACAAAACAAATAAACAGTAATGTCTGTTAACTATATCTTAAGCTTATTTTCTTCACACCTTTAAAATACATGTAATTGTTCAATCAAAGCTCACAAAGAGTCACACTCTAGCTGCACTCTTGCTGTTGTAAACATGCACATTGCAGAAAGACATTAGTTGGAACAGAAACCTAATTTTTTTCAACCAGTAATAAAAAAAAATTGTACACTGAGACTGTAAAACTATTCTTCAGGCTTCATCTTGTTTCATATAAAGTAACTTTCAATATTTTTCAAAAGACAAAGTTTTGTCAGTTAGAGTTAACCCTTTCACTCCTAAGATCTCTTTAATGATCCTCTTTAACACTTTAACTCCCAAGATCTGATTGTTAATTCTCCCTTCTAGCTGCTACACATTTCTTTGTAAATTGGTTACAAAAAAATTGGATGTTTTATCAAGGTAATTTTATCTTTTACCTGATGAGTTTCAGTATTCTCACCACCTGTTTGCTGGATAATGTATGGATATTATAGGGAGAAGTTACATGTTAATCACTTCTAAGAGTTAAAGGGTTAATGTATGTCATAAAATTCCTTTGATGTTAGTTAGGAGAATTTGGTTTTGGATCAACCAATAATCCCCTAATTGACGTTTTTTTCTTTACCCATTACTTGTCTGCTTGATAAAATATTGATACTGTAAGGATAAATTCTATCTTGGTCACTCATGGGAGTTTCAGGGTTAACAGGGACTGTGATCGATACTATTCCTCAACTCTCAAACTATTTAACAAGATACTTTCTACATTTTTCATATGACAAATTTAAAACAATTCATGACATTCTAATGGAGCAAATTCAATCTAGTTAACCAGAAGAAATCTCAGTCACCTTCACCTGTGAAATAATCTTCTCACCCAGCCAAACATCAAATCACTTTAAATACAAGATACACAATTCCTGCAAATTTGGCATGTTATATGGTGTATGCTTGGACCAGCAGAGACAATACCAGAGCAATGTTTTTCAAAACATTTGCTACATGTGCAAAAGTGCTTGGCTCATCAATTATTTGTATTATTAAGATTCTCACCTCCACCTTCCATTTCAACTGCAATTGCTTCAGGATGTTTCCTAATCATATCTCTGTTTGCCTCTGAGATACTCAGAACCACTCCATCACAGTGCACTTTGGCATTATATTCATCAGCATTTTGTAAAGGTGCCTTCCACCCATCAGCCACATGTTTGATCAGGTTACCAATATCTCTGCTGGGGGGAGTTTTGTGTGCAGCTGTTATGAGCTTTGCTGAAACAACCACATCTCCTAACTTGACCATTTTGCTGTTCAAACCACTGCAGGCACCAACAGAAAAAATGGCCTTGGGTCTCAGTAGTAAGATGGCATCTTTTGAAACAGACAAGGAACCCCCAGGAACATCAGGACCTTTGGAGCACCTCATCAAAGCAATTTTTGTCTTCTTTCCTTGATCATCACCCATGCACCCAAAGTACACATAGCCAGTACTGATGTGGTAACTCTTAAAGGGTTCCTTCAGGTAGGCAAAGCAGCTTAAGAACTCACAGTCCTCCACTGTTAATAAAAGAATATCAACTGGCAGTTCAACAGTTTTCCAAGGATTAGTGATTGTTGGAAGATCACTTAACTTTAAAAGTTTGATACTGAGCTCTGGTGGGCTGCTATTGCCAGTCTGTGCTGATCCATTTTTCACTACCTTTATTACTGTCTCTGAAAAAGAAGATAGTAGTTCTTTTTAAATTATTTGCATGTGACAATTAATCAGCTTATTACCTAAATGAAATCAAAAGATAGGACAGATAAAGAAAAAAGAGCAAATTATGGTTACAGCTGACATATCAAGGGAATATAGATTTACAACTTCATTTTGCATAATTGTTACTTTTAAAACAAAATCTGTGGGAAGTTCATTTCATAAAATGATCTAGTATGACTTACATTATTGACTCTACAAAGTTAGTTTAAAACTCAGGTTAAACAAAAAATTACACACACCCCTCTCCCATGAATTTTGTTCAGAAATGTCAAAGGAATCCTCCATGTTCCCTCCTTTCCTGGCCTTTTTCACAATTTTGTCTTCATGCGATTTGACAGTGACGCAGTCATCATCTTTCAACCACTCTCTCAGAAGCTCTTGGTAGTATTCTTCAAGATCAGCATCCATACAATGGAGTGTAGGATCATCTATGACTTCCTCATAGCTGGTCCCTCCAATACGCAGAAAGATGTCTTTAATGCTGTTCCAGTACAAACTAAAAGTTGGATCATCAACTGAAGCATTAGCAGCATGACTGAAAACTCTGTCCCTGAAAAACTTGATGCGAGTGATGTCAGCTGCTGTAGAGGTGTCTGATCCTGGAGGAAGGTTATTCCAGCTGGAGGCAGGGAGAGTCAGACCCCAGATATTCCTCAGAAGAAATACCAGTAGGGAGGTGTCAAAGTCCCTTGAGCAAACTGAAGATTTGAAAGCAGGATACAGTTTGTGCCACTGGGAGTTACTCAGGACTCTTTTCTTTCGCAGTGTTTGCAATTTTGCATGATTTTTTGGATCAGTCAGAACTGTGTGAAGATTTCCTGGTGGAAATATCCTGTCAAAGATCTCCCTCAGCACACATGATCCAACATCAACAAGAAGACGACAGAGCCGTGCATAATTAGAGGTCTCTTTGGTAGAAGGATGCAATGGGGTGGCAGAAGCCATGAAATCAAGTCCTCTGTAAAGAAATGCTTGTAATTAATACATGGAAGGCAACATTACAGAGCACACACAAAAATCATTGCTTTGTTCTAACTTTACAACACCAGAATATTACAGCACTCCAAAAATGAGTTAAATATCGCAGAACAGATCAATAAAATAAGTTTGCTGCATCTTCCATTTTAACCCTTTAACCTCTAAGAGCTGTGATTGGCTTCTAATTTCTCCTTACAGTATCACCCTTGAATCAAATGTATGGGTCATAAGAATAAAGGAGATCATCAAAAATTTAAAAAGTTTCTGATTTTCACATCACACTTTATCTATTTTCTCATATTCAATATATATAGTACAAGATATTCCTTTGACTTGTAGATAGCAGATGCTAATCCAGGCAGGGAAATTTTTTATTTACAAAATAATAGGGTTACTGTCAACGAAATCAGGTGCCTTCCAGAAAAATCATCCTAATCATACTACTATTAAAGATCATGGCTAGTTTAATCAAAGATGAAGTCAAACGGTACACAGAAAACTTTCATGCGCTATATTACACATGTGATTAGATTGCAACAGAAACCTCAGAAAAAATACATCACAGTAAAGCTTATTAAGTAAAGATAATAGAAATAGCAAAACTTTTCACAGTTTTTGTTTTGGTAGGCACATGTAAGCACTTAAACACAACATTGATGGTGTTTGCTTTACTGAATTCCCGGCCTCCACATTACCCCAGACCTCAAAACAAACTGGACAGTATTACTCAGCAGATTACAGGCTGTGATTGGCTTCTAATTTCTCCTTACAGTATCACCCTTGAATCAAAAGTAATGGGTCACAAGAATTAAGGAGATCATCAAAATTTAAAAAGTTTCTGAATTTCTCATGCCACACTTTATCTAGTTTCTCATATTCAATATACAAAATACTCCTTTGACTTGCAGATAGCAGGTGCTAATCCAGGCAGGGCAATTTTTTACTTAAGATTGCTGTTAACAAAATAGGGTGCCTTCCAGGCTAACAAGGTGTCTGAGGCAATTTTGATATTCTTATTAGTTCCTGAGAAAATCTATTGTGAAGTTGGACAATGGGAAATATTGCATGTGTCAATGTGGTCATGCTGCTGACCAATGAAACACAACATGAAAGCCCCTGGCAGGCCTCCTGACAAAGAGCTCCTTTAAAATTTGAAAGGTCATTTCATGAAAAGGAAACGTAAATTAAACATAATTCAAACATCATCAAGCAAGCTGGGGCCGTGGAAAATGAACAACTTAACTTCAATTTGTTTGGCTTGAGCTCTCTCTACCAACTTTTAGTTGACTGTTTTAGGCTGTTTGATGAAGCCTCCTTAATTATTCAACATTTTGCAAAATGTGCTAGAGATTCCCAGTGAATATGCAGTGCAAGATGTGATGTAAACAGTATATGCAAATTAAGATCCTGGATGAAAGCCTGCAGAAAACATCAACACTCTGCTGGAGGCCTTTGCATTTATGACACCTTTTGTTCTACAGGACAGGTTTCCTAAAACATTCTTTCAGCCATATCTTGCCTCCTTTCTAAGATTTTTGTTTGGCAAATTAAGCTCTTAAGTGGTTAAAATAGTTTCTCTAACTTAGGATAAAAAATGAAATTTTGAACATTTTTAGCAGATTTTGTTGACAGTAAATAAGAAAATATTACATAAAAAAGATTAAAAGATACACAAGAAAAGAAAAAGGAAAATGAAAGACATTCATTGTAAAAGATAAAAAGTTGTTGAGTATCTAAGTGCACTAAAGATATTGTACAACTGCAAGTTTAATTTGTTTCAATTTTGCAGTGTTTGAATTTAACCATTATCTCATCAGGCTTAAGAATTTTCAGTCCCTAGAATATTGAGATGAACTTTTTTGTTTCTTTTTAAAGGATTTCTTTGACAAATTTTTCTATTCATTAAGCATCTCATTCCAGATTTTGACACCTGAGGTATTTAATCCTAAAGAGTTGTGATGTTGAAGAGCAAGTATTGGTAGAATTGTTTAATGTTCTCACAAAAATGTTCATGATGTTAGATGGTGCTCTGTTGTTATGAACATCAAGCATTAATTTACTTACAGCTTCCTAATGTAAGAAGGTAATAGGTTGAATTTTCGCATTTATAAATCAAGGAATAGCATGTTCTTTTCTGTCAGGAAAGTAAATTAAACACAATACTCACTTTTGGAGACCAATTTTGTTTACAATATATTTTTTAGATGCTTTGCCCCAAGCAGTGAGTCAATAGCTATATTAGGTAAAATTAAGGATTTATAGATATTTACAAGGACAGATGATGGAACAACATACCTCACCTAAGCAATCATTTGTATGGTCTTTCTTAATTTAGTAATAACACAGTCAACGTAGTTTTTCCAAGAAAGATTTTCTTTAATTAAAACACCTATTAAATAATTGTTGTAGCTCTTATGTTCTAAACTGACTTTTCTATTTGTTTCACAATCAAATATACTTCTTTGACAAATTCTCCTTGTCTGTTCCATAGGAAATGTAAAGAGAACAGTGTGGAGAATATGAATACCAATGTCTTAGGGTGTTAAGGGTTAAAAGTCAAATGGGGCAGGGGGAACACACACAATTCTATAAAACCCACACTGCAGGATCTCCCTTTGCTACCTTGAAGACTGAAGGTAGCAATCATCTGCATATTAGCCTTCAAATGGGATGCAGCAGGTATCACCATCCTTAGAGGGAATGGGGGCATACTCCCCCCACGAAAATTGTGAAAACAAGTATGAAGTTGCTATGGCAACATTAGTATAAGCAAGCATTTCCACAGCTGGAAAGACTTTTAAGCAAGTTTGAAGGGAACAAGGAGTAAATTATACTAAAAAGGATAATTAATAAAACTCCCAAAAGTGATAAACAAGCAACTTCTCCCTATAATTTCTAAACATTATCCAGCAAACAGGTCACGAGAATATTCATACTTATCAGGTTTAAGTTATCTCGATCTGAATGAAGATTTAGATATATGAAAATTCACATATTGGACTGCGGTGGAAAGATGAAATTAGAAGATCCTCGCAGCTAAGAACACTACTGAAACTAGTAGTTGTAAGTAGGACCTGAAAAAAATTTCAGGCCCGTACGGGATCTCGATCTATCGACAAATTCTTGTACCTTATTTACAAAGAAATGTGTAGCAGCTGGAGGGGAGAATTGACAATCAGATCTTGGGAGTTAAAGGGTTTACAAAAGCAGCAGTTTGCTATAAGAAACAATAGTTTCAGCTTGAGAACATAAATTAAAATTGTTTGCGTGAGATCTCACGCTCCATGTGAAAGACTTGACAGCTTTGTCACCGGGGCTTTTAAGAGGGGCGGCTTATAAGCAGCAGTTTTCAGTATTTCTGGAGTAGAGGGACATGTATCAGTTGTTCCTTAGGCTCAAAATGAAGGAATGTATCAAGTTAAATTCACAACTAGCCAGGATCGGAGTAAACTAAAAAATTGATTTTGTACAATTTGAAAACACATTTCCGATTTGAAGGCCCAAATGAATTAGGCCACTACTACAAATAAGCAATTGGTTGGCAAGTACAGAGATGTCTTCAACAAACATGCAGAAGGTGCTGGCGAAGCACTACAGTACCGCTCGCGACCACACGTTAACTGCGCAGACGAATTTCTGACGCTCAGACGCAGGGTAGTCAGACGCGTATATAGGATTTTTTTATGCGCTCAGTCGAAAAAAATGCACGGCTCATGTGTCTTTGTAATTTAGTGCTACAAGTTTCCTTACTATTACTATGTGAAACAAAGAAGTTTAAGATTTGAAAAAGCGGTGAGTGGAGAACGGAAAATTTACATAATGAAAAAAGCTATCATGCTACACTCACGCGTGTCGCGTCGCTTCGCGAATAACGAGCAGTAGCAGTACATTTGCTTGATTGTTTGATTTGTTGATGAATCAGCTGGGAAAGAGAATCTCTATTACTCATGGCATCAAAGCACGTGTTTCAGTGAGCGAGTAACGAAACAAATACTCCGTAATATGCTTCCCAATTAATTCATGGCAATCAACGCTCCCTAAGATGTTTTCGTCGCGGAATGTGAACAATTTGGTGTTTGCATCGCAGGTGATGAATTCTTCGAAACTTCGAACCTGCCTCGATCACCTTCGATGAGGATCAGAAGGAAAATATACTGTTTAAGATTGTGAATGATATTCTGTCTTATTCATGGCAATAGGCGCCGGCTTCAGTGTTTACGCATCGGAATGTAAACCGTTTCATTTCACATCGCTCGTGATGATTTGTTTGATTGTAGAACGCATTATATTACTACGATGAAAGGTCAAGTTAAAAGACGAAAATTCATCTGAAACCAAAAACGCTTCAACAGACTACTTTTCATTATCATATTGTGTAAGTGTCTGTCAATAATGTCAAGATCTTTCAAAACAGACTCTAAAATCTGACATCAACCCATGTCCACTAATTTCAACCATTTGTCTCTTAAAACACATGTTTCATACCTCTTAGCCGAGCGAATCCAGCCAAGATTCGATAAAATAATAACAAATAAGTAAATCAATTGAGATAAAAAAAACTACCGATTGTGATATCAAGATTAACTATAAGCTCCAATTCCTAAAATACAAGCATCACTAAAACAAACAGGAAGTGCTGACGAAGCACCAAGCTACGAGGGTTAAGACAAGTCCTTCTCGACTAATAACATGAATCAAGTGAAAAGAATGCATATGGTAAACGAATGACTTTACCTTGGCTAGAATCGTCTGCTCACAAACGTCAAACAAGTCTTTCGAAATAGAGATCAACTGTATCCTACCCGCACCTGAGCCATGTTGGAAACTTTGGTACGAACGCTATTCGGGGTTTTGCCTAAACCTGTTTGAGAGAAGAATAACCGAGGAAGACTAGAGACGAGTTTCCGGGTGGTGCACTTCTCTTTATGGCGGACTATTCAATATTATTTCGCCCCATGTAAGGTAATCCGGATTCCGGAATCCAGGACATTTTTGCTTGTGGAATCCGGAATACTGGGCTCTGGAATCCAGAATCCAGCTTTTGGAATCCAGGATCCCGCTAAAAAGGGGGAATCCAGAATCCGCTTGCTGAAAATCCATTTCAAATCATATTAACGGCTTTCACCCGCATCCATGCAACCACTGTACAGTGCAGTTCACTCACGTGGTCAATCGGTGCTCAAATTTAGAAAGTGTTTATATCACTGAAGCGTTCAAATCCCACAGGATTTGCTTGGAACATCAATATGGCCGCTATTTGATTGTTTTGGAACACCTCTAAATAATGATATGGCCGCTATGACGTCCTGTGAATATTAAATTACTGGTTGTCATAACAACAGTTGGAAGGTGACTTTGTAAAAGATACGTTTTAGTTTTCCTATAAATCTAGGAATTTTTAAATTTCTGTGAAAATAATCTAACTATTAACAACTTGGATGCTTTGCTTTTGCCTACTTTCCCCGCCGGTTTTTTAAGCAAATGGGGCGCACGGCAAGTTTTGGCACCGGAAACTGCGCTACTTTTATCTGGCACCCAGGGTCGAGGTATCGACCTTAATACTTAATACTCTTTTCATTTTCGACTCTTCCGAACTTTCTGGCATTTCTAATTCGCGATTGACCAAAATCAAAAATAAATATCCATTCTCCTTAAATCATAATGAGAGCATCAAAAAGTAATATTCTCCTGATGGCAGTGAAAGCATAGTTGTAATTAGAAGCCAGACGAAAGCCAGGAACTGTCAAAACTGCACCAGTCACTCAGAGCACGTGGAGGGACACAAGCCGCAGTATTACAGAAAATTTGCAGTGTCTTTTTCAGTTGATATATGATTTGTTTATTCGATTTGCTTTTTCCCTAAATCTCGATACTTCAACCATAATCTATGGGGAAGCACAAGAAAAAGCAAAAGGCGGAGAGGGAAAGGTAAGTGTAACATTGTAATGATTCAATTGATTCTTTGTTCCATTTTGAACTAACTTAACCTCCGGCGAAACTTACCAAAAATTACTGAAAATGCATCTTCAGGAGCCCAAGAAACCGAAGAAAGAAAGACTAAAAAGAAAAATACACGAGTTCAAGACCATCGAGGTTTGAGGATTTTTGTCCATTATGAAACACTTCTGAATTTTTTTTAGGGGTTGCAACGAGCAAACAGGAACGACAGGGGTTTTAATGACGAACTATAGTCAATAATAACTGTTTCAATGTAGTAGAATTCGGAAGTTTAAAACAAGTTGGAAAACTCGAAAAAACGCTTTGCTAAACTTGAGAATACTCGGCCAATTGTTTGCATCTCATGAAACAACAATGTATTACGCCTCGTTAAATGATGAAACGCAACAAACGCACAGCATGACTCGCTTGTTAGCAGTGATTTAGGCCTTTAGTCGTTTTGAGATCAGTTACGCTAGAGGTGTCGCGTACCCAAGTGTTGGGATTACGTTGAGTGTCAACCACATATACACATCCGTCTCATTCCAGTTTTTATTGAGTACAACGTGTTACAATGCGGTGAAAAGTTTGATCCTGCGTAAAAAGGGTAAAAGAAACTCCGTGGGAAAGTGACTCCAGTTACTTCGAAAACTCCAATAACTCCGATAGAAAACTCTAGATGGATATAATCCGACAACTTACTCCGACACTCCGATATGTGATACTACAGAGATTATGTAAGCAACGGGCTTTAAACATGATAGGCGGCTAATAACACGATCAAATACGCTCTGATAAATGATTAAAAAAGAATGAACAATGAAACGATAATAGAATTTAAATGATAGTAAATAATCACACAAAACAAAACAGTTCAGTTCATTTCAGTTCAGTTCGCTTGCTGAACGTTCGTCACACTCCTCGCCCAAGGATTACGAGGTTAATCCTTGCTACTTGGTACACATGGTCTATGCTGGGCTAGGATCTGCATCGTCTGTTCCGTTGTTTGGCAGCAACAGGATGAGTTCTTTTATGGGCCGTAAGTAGACCTTCTTTTCTCCGTCTCTGGCGATTTCAACGTTGGCTTTCCTGACTCTCCCGTCCTCACTCTCTATCGCTTCCGTTACTCGTCCTAGTGGCCAGTTGTTGCGGCGTTGGGCGTCGTCTCGCAAGAGAACGATGTCTCCTACGCGTAGATTTCCCCGAGTCGCTGTCCACTTTGGTCTGCGCTGTAAACTCTGCAAGTACTCACGACGCCACCTTGTCCAAAATTGGTCGGCAAGGTACTGTACTCGCCTCCAGCGACGGCGTACATAGAGGTCAGGCTGTAAGAACTGACCTGGGGAAGGTCCTGCTGGACGCGTCTTCATCGTCAGCAGCATTGCAGGGGACAGGGGTCGTGGATCGTCAGGATCAGATGGTAGTGCAGATATCGGTCTTGCGTTGACGATCGCCACTACCTCAGCCATCAGCGTGATAAGTAGCTCGTGTGTCAGCTGAGTCCTGCCCAGTTCAGCGAACATGGCGTCCAGTACTCGTCTGATGGTGTTGATTTGCCTTTCCCAGACTCCGCCAAAGTGTGATGCGTGGGGAGGGTTGAGCTCCCATTCGCATCCGCTCTCCGTTACAAATTTCTTCACTTTCTCCTCGTTGAGCTCCGACGATGCATCTTTGAGCTCTGTTTTTGCTCCAACGAAGTTGGTGCCTCGGTCGCACCTGAGAAGCTTGGCATGGCCTCGCAGTGCGAAGAATCTTCTTAGTGCGCAGATAAAGGCACTGGTATCCATCGCTTCCAGGACTTCAACGGAGTTAGAAACAACTTTGTGCAGTCGTAACTTGGCGGTGGCCAGGGTGGCTTGCGCGCCTTTCACCAGTTTTATCGCGCGTCCAGCGGTTGGCAGCGAAGCTAAGCCGTCATCTACATAAAAGTTGCGGCATATGAAAGTCTTGGTCTCTTCTCCATTCTCCTCCTCGCCATCTACCGCTGTTCGGCGGAGTCCTTACGTGGCGACTGCGGGGCTTGGTCCATTGCCAAACAGGTGAACGTTCATGCGGTACTCCGTGACGGGTTTTGTCGGGTCGTTTCCTTCGAACCAAAGGAAACGAAGGAAGTCTCTGTGTTTAGGGTCGACATGGAACGAATGGAACATTTGCTCCACGTCACACATCACGGCAACATTCTCCTTTCGGAAGCGTATTAGAACACCGATGAGGTTGTTCATCAAGTCTGGCCCTGGTAGAAGCGCTTTGTTCAGCGAGACTCCTTGAAATTCGCAACTCGAGTCAAACACGACGCGAATGGTGCACTTTGTGTTGTGGTACGTCGCGAAGTGCGGTAGGTACCAGAAACGGCCAGCGGAAGGCGGTACTTCATCGCGCGGGACGGGAGAGGCGTGGCCTTTCTCGATTATCTTCTCCATGAACTCCAAGTAGTCCGTTTTCATCTCTGGTTTTCTGATAAACATCTTCAAGAGCCCTTGCAGGCGCCGCATGGCTTGGGCGCGGTTGTTCGGCATGGACTGGTGCTCGTCGCGGAAAGGGAGGGGCATTTCCCAGTTACCGCTTGCGTTCTTGTGTATGCCCTTGTCCATGATCTCCAGGAAGGTGCGGTCCTCAAGGGAGAGGCTGGGCTCGTTGTCATGCCATGTGGTTTTGAAGACACCATCGGCGGCGCGCTCCAAGGGGGGATCCGTGACTTTGAATTGATTCGGGCAGGGGACCAATTCATAGCATTTGCCTTCACCTTCTTGCCTTCTCCGAGTGTCGGTGGACAGACTGGTCAGGCGGGTAAGAACGTGGGCTGGACCGCTGGGGAAGTCGAGACAGAGCTGGCCACTGATGGTCCAGCCGAGGGCTAGACGTTGTGCCCAGGGGGCTCCACTGGGGCCATTTCTTGATTCCCTCACTTTAAGTAGCTCTGGTGCATCGCGGCCGATAAGCAGGTGAACGCCAGCGGTGTCATCGAACGGAGGTATCTCGTTCGCTATGAGCGATAGGTGCGGGAACCTCCTCGCCATAGCTGATGTCGGGATCTCACGCTTGTCCTGGGGGATGTTGTTGCACTCCGTGAGGGTAGGTTGGGTGAACTCTGCTCCGTTTGTGGAACGTACGGCGAAGCCTGTCAATCGCCGCCCGTATTTCTCTTCCCGGTCGCCGCTGCACGTGGACAGGAAGTACTTCTCTAAAGGACCGCTTGCTCCTAAGTCATCCGCTAGTTCACTGGTGATGAGGGAGCTGTTGCTCTGTTCATCAACGATTGCGTAGATGCGCTTCGTGATGTGGGGGGTGCGCTTGTTGAAGATATCGACTAGCAGAGTCTTGCTACAGGATAGTCCTCCTGTTGGTTCGCAGAGTGTAGTGCATTTGGGGTTCACAGCCCCGTTCTCCGGTCTGGGGGTTGGCCGCCTGTCCTTGTGTAGTAAGGCACTGTGGCGCTTGTCCCCGCAGATGGTGCACTGTATGGGTGTGTCGCACTCACTCGCGATATGGGCGTTGCTGAGACAACGAAGGCACAGGCGAGCGTTCATTATCCACTGTGTGCGCTCTTCCAGGGATTTCGCCGCGAAGGCAACGCACTCTGACAGGTCGTGCGCACCGCTCTCGTGATAGGGGCAATGTTTGCTCTTCATCTTGCTTTTTCCTGGTGCTTCTTTGTTTCCAGCTGGGGGCCGGACTTCCGTTTTCAACGATCTATTGTCTCTTCCTCCGCGCTGTCTCTGCGGCGAAACTTGGGAAGGGATCGTTTCTTTACCAGCGAGGACATTGGGGTTGTTCTTAATCTTAGCTTGCTCCTGGACGGTCTTGGAGAATCTTGAGAAAGGGGGGTACATCCCTCGATGGCTGTCGGAATAATTCGAGATCTCCTTCTCCCATTTAGCGCGGATGGATTTCGGTAGCTTCTCAGCTATGGGTTGAATAGCGCTTGGGTAGTCAAGGCATTCGAGTCCTGGGAGAAATGTCACTTGACTTTCGATGTCCGCGCAGAGATCTGCAAACTGCTGCAGTTTGACGTGCTCGTGTTCGCTGAATGTCGCTGTACCTCGCAGGCGTTCCAGAAGTGCGTTGGCGATCACTGCTGCGCTGCCAAAGCGTTTCTCGAGTTCCGCCCATAAATCTCTTAGCAACGCGACGGGATCGCGCATTTGCCGCTTTCTGTAATTGTCGACCAGGAGCTGTGGGGGTCCGCTGGTGAAACTCCTCAAATAATTTATCTCCTGGATCGGGGACACATCGGTGTCTATCAGCATGGCTTTGAAGGCACTCTTCCAAGGGTGAAAGAGGGAAGGATCTCCAGAGAACACATCGGGTTGGCACTTTGGGAGGTTTTGCCTAGCCAGGCCTGCGACTATCTGTTGATTCACTGCGGTGAAAGAGTCGATTAGCTGGCTTCCGGTGACGTCTCGGAAAGGTGTCGAAGTCATCAGCGGTCGGCGATTGAAGGCCGTGTTTTGATGCGTTCTGCGATCTTCGTTAGCAGAATTCTGGCCTGGTAGATCTGGGTTTGGGTCGGGAGGTTTTGGCTGCTGAGACATTTTTTTTAAAGACTCAAATTTCGGGGCGGCCGGTGATAGTGGTTTTGTTCGCTCCGTTGTGTCTCGCGGATCGTGTTCACGCTCGTAACGCGTTGCATTTTCCGCGCGTGGGGGGCTAAGTGTGGGAGAAGAGTACACCCATCGCGATGTGCGATGCTCCATTTTGATTTCGGGGACTTCGAAGTCCCGTAATTGTGACTCTCTTTCCAAATTTTCCTCCAATCGGCGGGCGTCTTCGAAAACCTCGAGCTTAGCGTTTGCTATCGCGGCCTTTTTATCTGCACTTAAGATCGCCATCTCGGACTCAAACTGTGCGATTTCCTGTTGACGAGTTCGTTCCGCTTCAGCGTCGCGCGTCCTTCGCTCGAGTTCCTTTTGCGCTATGAGTCGAGCGTACTGGGCTTCTTCTCTGGCTGCTTTAGCGTCGGCCAGCGCCTGTAGCCTAGCCATCGTGCTGCTAGATTTTGAGGCGGATGAAAGGCGAGATGAAGGACAAGATGAACGACTAGCGACGGATCGTGTTTCCAAATATTTGCTCGACTTACTTAATCTATTTTTTGTCTTTTCGACAAGGAGGAGGGCGCGTTTTAAAGTTTCGTTTTCCTCCACAAGCTGGGCCTCTTTCGTGTAGTCCCCATACAAGTCTTGATCGTACAGGTCAAGCAATTCCTTCATCATTCTTCCGAAATTTTCGGACGCTGTCGCGAGGTCGCGCGCTGCGGTTCCGATTTCACTTTCATGACTAGCACTTTGCTCTACCGATTGCATAACCCTCAGGAGCTCTTTACGTGATTTACTTAATTCTTTACGTTTACTATCTATGGCGTTTTGTAGAGCCTTTGGCGTAGGTTTTACTGTTCTTTTCTTCCTAGCTCCGGGCTCCTTGGTTTCGCTGATATTCGGCGGAACGTCACTTCGGCATGCCATTGTTGATACGCTCAGGCTCCGCGTTAAACTAGTTACGGCTTACCTTTTTACGTCGATCAAACTTTTCACTGTCGCGTACCCAAGTGTTGGGATTACGTTGAGTGTCAACCACATATACACATCCGTCTCATTCCAGTTTTTATTGAGTACAACGTGTTACAATGCGGTGAAAAGTTTGATCCTGCGTAAAAAGGGTAAAAGAAACTCCGTGGGAAAGTGACTCCAGTTACTTCGAAAACTCCAATAACTCCGATAGAAAACTCTAGATGGATATACTCCGACAACTTACTCCGACACTCCGATATGTGATACAACAGAGATTATGTAAGCAACGGGCTTTAAACATGATAGGCGGCTAATAACATGATCAAATACGCTCTGATAAATGATTAAAAGAATGAACAATGAAACGATAATAAAATTTAAACGATAGTAAATAATCACACAAAACAAAACAGTTCAGTTCATTTCAGTTCAGTTCGCTTGCTGAACGTTCGTCACAAGAGGTTTGAATAAACTCTGCTCGTTAAATATTTTATTATGCTACCTGACACTGGTCATGGAAATGGCTTATTTTGCGCGAAATTCCGCTCGAATCGTGATTCACACTTAGCCCTTTAATTTCCAAGATCTGATTGTTAATTCTCTTCCCTAGCTGCTACACAATTCCTCGTAAATTAGCTACGAAACTTTGGTGTAATATCAAGATGACAACTTCAACCTGATAATTTTGAGTATTCCCACGAACCCTTTGCTGAAAAATATATAGATATTATAGAGAGAAGTTACATGTCAGTCTTTTCTGGGAGTTTATTGGTTAAACCATCATTGTTTATGAGAGACTTATTTTATTGCGCTAACTTGCATGTGCTTAGCCATGGTTAACCGCCGGAATTTAGGTTCAAGCATTGAGGCCCGTTGTTAGAGCTCGGTGATCACCTGGCCCAATAAGGTGTGATAATTTTGTAAATCAGAAGTACAATAAAACTGTCAGTTTTGGAACTGAAAAATGGACTGGCCCAGGCGCTAAAACCCGCACCACCATTCTTAAAATTGGGCTTTTTCGAAAATAATTAAGTTTTTTTTTCTTGCAGGCCTTTTCGTGAACAGTATGAACCTTCGACATCTCCACCAAGGTGGCGATCAAGGTCTCGCAACGAACGTACACCGAGGTATATTAACTGTTATATTTTAACGAACCGAAAAAAGTTTTTTGAAAACTCAATTAACAACACGTGATGTAGCCTTAACACTATCACTTTCTTTGTTTTTGCAGCCTCCTCGAAAAATCAGAGCGATCGCCCTCTCGAAGGCGACGATCAAGATCA